GGGGATTTTGGTGGAGGATTGTTCTCGCTACCAAGCCACCACCCTTCGTTTTTGTTCCCCAGTTGACTTTCATATCCGCTGCCACCTCAAACAGGCGAATCGTGTGTGTCAGTGTTTGAAAGGATGTCGGGTCAGCTTTGAGTAGGACTGTGAGGTCGTCGGTGAAAATCGATGTGACCGGAATAAGGTTGGGAGGCAGCTCATGGACCTCTATTCTTCGTATGTTCGGGTTAGCCCGGATCATGGCCGCCAGTTCATCCATGGTAAGGACAAAGAGAATTGGGGCGATAGGGTCTCCCTGTCTGACAAATCTCTGGAGCCTGATCGGGGGTGCAAGATGTCCATTCAACATTATGTTACCGTTCTGTGGAAAATATTCACCCATTTCCGAAATATGGGGCCAAAGTTCATCTTTTGCAGAGTTAATCTTTTGCAAGCACATCTCCAGAAAGTCCCAATCGGCGTGATCATATGCTTTTTCAAAGTCGATAAAGAGTATCGCAGCGTTAACTCGTCTTTGTCTTGCATACCTTATGGTCTCGTTGACCAACAGGATGTTGTCCTGAATCTTCCTATATGGCATGGACCCAAATTGGTTAGGGTGGATGATGTTAGGTAAGTGGGGTAGGAGTCTGTTAGCCCAAACCTTAGCCACTATTTTGTAGGGGATAGGGAGGAGAGTTATTGGTCGGTAGTTTCGTATTTCTTCGTTGTCCCCTTTCTTGTATAGAAGTGTTGTAACCCCCTGACTTATCATTCCACCAAAGGTTTCCTCCCTATAGACCGCATTCACATAGTGACAAAAGTCGTATTGAAATGTGCCCAGAAGTGAATCCAAAACTCCTTGGGGAAGGAGTCCAATTCCTGGGTCTTCTCATCTTCCATATCTTGGAGGGCTTGCAGCATCTTTTATGGATAGCATGGATGGAAGGGCATTTATCAGGGTCTCCCTGGCCGTCTGCAAGATGTGGGGAGAGTGTTGGTTGGCTTCCGATGTGAAGAGCCTTTGGTAGTATGATGAGGCATATTCAGCGATGCTATAGGTGTTTTTTGTCGACGGTCGGGAGTTGTCAAACGGGTGTTTGAGGGAGGCGACCGTATTTTGCCTTCCTTTGGCTTTGGCTTTTTTAAAGAAGGTCACAGTCATCATGCCATCAGCCGCATACTTTGATATGCGTGTTTGAATTCATCATTTTTGGGCTTGGGCATCCAGGTACTCGTGCACTTGGACACATATTCTTTGAAGGGTGTTAAATGTTTCCATATCCAACGGGTTATCCATTAGCTGGTTATCCCATTCTTCCAGTTCGTTCAACAGGCAGTCCAAGGCTTCCTTTCTCTCCCTTGCGTGCTTGATTTAGTATTTTTTCACTCTTTCTCGGAGTTGTGCTATCTCGTCATTGAACCACTGGACCAAGCTACCCTGACCAAGCTACCCTCTTCTGGTTTTGAGACTGTCCAGTATGCTCAGAATTCTTTTACCAGGTTCTGGAAGGATGAGTGTGTGAGAAGAGAGGCATTGAATTTGAAGAACCCGGGACCTTATCAATATGAGCATGGAAGGAAAGCCCCAAAACCGTCATCCTATGGTTAAAGGACTTGAAGGGCAAAACAATGCAGATATCCGCCACTATGAGAAGTCATGTCAGTTCATCTGATATAAGTCCGAGGTCTATTCGGGAATTTGCTATACTTGTATGACCCCTGGATCTAATACACATGTAGGCCCTTTTGGTCGGGGGCAACTGTCTATATGCGTCTATGAGGTCTAGTTTGGCCATAAGGTATCCCAGAGCTGCCACATCCGGGCCGTTTTGCCTTTGATTTTGTTGTTGGTTTTGTGAGGGCGACCTTCTATCCATTGATGGGTCCAGCGTAGTGTTGTAGTCACCCATCATTATTATGGGGGCATCCCGGGGTAGCACCTATCGGAGTGAGGCAAAAAAGACCACTCTTTGGGCTGGGCCGTTGGGAGCATAGATACTTACTAGATAGAATGTTTCCTTGCCTAGTGAGGCCTTGAGGTAGACCCACCTCCCTTCCACTTTGTCCCATTCTGCATTTCGGTGTTAGTCTGGACGTGGATTGAACCCAAATGGCCACTCCTGTGGACGCGGTAGCTCGTGTCGGGGCTGCATATGATGCGTATGGCCATACATGTGTGGCTCTCGCCCGATGTGTTGGGGAGTCTATTAGGTGGGTCTCTTGCACTGCTATCGCGTCCGGCCACCTCCCTCTCGTGTCCTGAGTGATTTGGTCCCAAATTGCTTTCCGCTTCCGTTCATTGGGTTGGGCAAGTCCGTTGACGTTAATTGACCTAATGTTCAGGTCAGCTTCCATCACCTTCTTAGCCCACTGTGGTGGGTGTCTCACCGGTAGGGCCGGGCGCGGGGGGCTGGGACAGGCTGGGGGGTCTTCCGGTCCCACATCTTGTGGATGCCATTGGGGTCCGTGGGGCTCTTGGGGTTCCTCCCTCATCCTCACCAAGTCCCATGGTTGTTGCGGGGATTGCCTTTGTCGGTTTAGGCCAGGTCCCCCCTGCTCATATCCATCATGGTCAAAAGTGTGACCTTGTACTAACATCAGATTGCTTAGGTGATGTCTTGCCTAGCATTTGTAGATGTTGTATATTTGAGAACAGTGAATTTGGGATACCTAAGCCGCAGGTTGGATCTGTTTGACAAATGGTGGGTCATCCCGCTGTTGGTGGGCTTCCAAGATCGCTTCTTCCAGAATGATGCGGAGGAAGAGAATGTGTTCTTCCGTAGTCCATGTCTTGTTTGATCTTAATTTGATTGTCGACATGTTGGTGAGCTGTTTTTGAGTCATCCATTGCACATTAGATCCAGTTTGTGGAGTTTGTGAGGCATGTGGGAACAGGAGCAGTATAGGGGTTACACCCTTCAGGAATGGTATATCCTGTGGAAACACAGTGCCCACTACTTCACTGTCCCCATTTTGAGTAATGTGCCATTTGAGTTCATTCCTTGTCAGTCGCTGGGTTGCATGGCTCCTCCATCCTTGTAATGTGACGCCCAGTGGGCTGTCACTGGCCCGGGCTTAGGCGGCCAGTTTAGGAATCCTCAGCGGGTTGGGGCGGAGGCCCAACTGCCATTGTGCTTCCTCATCCTCTCTTCTGATTGGCAGGACCACAACCCCTGCAGACCAGGTTATTGGCGGGTGGGGTCCAATCGGGGTGGCCAAGTAGTCTTTGATGAGAATAGGCCTTTTTGACTCGGGTCACCTTATCCTGTTCTTGTTCTTCCCTACCTTCATTCAGACATGGTTGCAGTCTGTAAGGCGGTGACGGGGGCATGCCCAGTTCCCAGTCTGTTGTTGTTGTTGTTGTTGTTGTTGTCGGGTGAGTTGCGGCACACAGCGGGTACCGACAGGCATGAAGGGGACATAGTCCAACTCGGGGATATCCCATTCAAGCTCAGAATCGGTACTGTTGTCCTGGTCAGAGTTGTGTCCATTACCGTCCGCTTGTGCATCCAAATCGGTGTCGGATTCCTGCCCCATGCCCAAGGGCCTAACTGTTTGGTTCTACGCTCGGTTGCATTCAACGATCGGTTGCAGTTGACCCATTGCTTCTTGTGTCAAGGCGTCCTTGATGTGAAGAAGAGGTCTGAGGAGGTGCTGTGGTACCAGTTGGCCCAGTTGCTCTGGGCCTTTGGTGACGAGCTCAGTTTCGTGGTTCGAGTTCATGTACGATCACAGCTGGCCAGGTGATGCCTTCCCAGGTTATATCCTCAGTCTTACTCTCCCCTTGTCTCATAGTGGCAGTGACCAGTGACACACTGTGTTCCAGCATGGGTCCCAACGGGTCTACTCAGTACCATGTATTCCTGATCTTTTCTCTGAGAGCATAGACTGCATCTCTGATTCTGATGGCCACTCTCGGCCAGTCAATTGTGGACGGGTCCTCAAATCCATCAATGTACTGTGTGAGCGAGGTTGTGGTCATGAAGGCTCTTCGAATGTTCTCCTAATCATTAATACCATGTTTGTGATGACCTTCAGCCTGGCCCTCACCTTCTTGTCTTTCGAGGGGCGCTTGGGGCCACTCGTGTGGTTGTTCTGGGACTGTGACTCCCCTCCCTGGTCCACCTAGTTATCCTGGGTGATTGATGCTTCTCCCATTTTGCACCTCGGTCCCTGGTGGTGGGGGAGGGACTTCTGGGGGCTCAGAGGCACTTGCCATCATCCTTTCTGGGGGATTATCCATTATCCCCCTGCAGGGGTCTCCTAGGTATGCCCCTGGCACTGTGTATTGCGGTCCCTGGAGGGTTGGCTGTGGTATTCCATACGGATCATTTGGCAATATTGCTTGGAGGGTGCTGTCCCTGCGTATCGTCTGTATCTGTTTCAGAGTCCGCCAGCCCAGCTTGCGGTCCGGTCTGGTCCATAGGAAGGCGTCCCATTAAGCTGTCCATAGCTAGCTCGACTCCTTCCATGAGCGCAAGCCCTGGGCCGGGGGGGGGAGGCAGTCCCAACATCCCTTTGTTTGTCCCGTCCTCCAAAGTAGGGTGTTTGACTGCTTCCTCGGTTAAGGTCTCACATTCAATGGGTGAGGGAGGCTGCTGAGTTTCTTCGATGGTTGGTAAGGGGGGGGTTGGCGGGTTCTATCGTCCCCCTATGTGGGAGCAGCTTCTGCTGTTGTTCCATCTCCTCGTTCCCTTTTGTGTGATGGGCACAGGCTTGATCGACTTTGGCCTTCCATTGTTGGAGGTATTTCCTCCATGTCTCCTCTACCGGTGCCCTGGCTTCCCGAGGGGACCGCCTGTCCTTTGTATTATGTACTGAGTTTTGGAGGCGGTCCAGCCCCTCCCCCTCTCCCCCCCCACCCACCTGCTGTTTTTGGTTGTCGGACTGTCTATTGTACCCTACCTGGAGGGGCAGGCTTGAAGGGTACCTCTGTTGCTGTGTGATCTGCTGACGAGACAGGTGTGTTTTGGTTAGCTGTTGTTGTGGGTGATTGTTCTGCTGAGCCGGTTCAGGGTGAGCTTGACTCTTCTGGGGCAGTCCTTGTTGCTTCTGCTGTGTATGATGAAGATGTTGGTAGTGCTGTGCAGATTGTTCCAGCTCCGCAGGTTGGTGTTCAGGTTGCTGCTGCCGCTGGGTCTTCTGCTGTTGTGCCGGCTGCTTAGCAGGTTGAAGCGTCATGTGCGTTTTCTGTTGTTGTGCCGACTTCTGTACCGGTTGGGCAGGCTGATGAGGGGGGCGTTCCTGACGGCAGGGGACCGCCAGCGGATGGCCCTGTTGGTCATGGGCAGTAAAAGGGCCTGCCTGGGATGGCCCAGTTGTACCAGTCGGTGTGTCCTGTCTCTCCCTAGTGTGACCTTCCCTTTGCTATGCTGCAGTTGGCAGAGGGGAAGAATGCCCCTGCCCCTCCCATCTCCATTACCCCAGGAGTCTGATGGACTTTCTGCTTAAGACCCATCCATTGAGAGCTTGGTCTTCTGGGACCCATCTTCCCTGACCTTCTGAGTGTGGCTATACCAGCCCTTCTGTGAGCGTGTTTGTGTGGTAGGGGTATTTCGAGTCCGTGCACAGGTGCCCCGTGGCTGACCTTGACTGCATAGTTGCGGCCTGCCTGTGAGAAAGACCACTGGCCGCTGAGCTTGGTCTTCTGGGATCCATCTTCCCTGACCTTCTGGGTGTGGCTATACCAGCCCTTGTGTGAGCGTGTTTCTGTGGTAGGGGCATTCCGAGTCCGTGCACAGGTGCCCCCTGGTTTTACAAGCGTAACACTAGGGGTCCTGTGGGCGGCTAACCTGCACTGCATAGTTGCGGCCTGCCTGTGAGAAAGACCACTGGCCATTGACTGGGAAGGCTTTGTTCGGGTCCCAGTCCACTGCCACCAGCAGTGAGTCATCCCTCTTGGGGATAGCCTGGGGTAAGTCGTTTATGTACCCCAAAACCGGCGCTATTTGCTGCAGGTCTGCCAAGATCGCGCCTTGGACACATAGCGGTGCAAAAAGCAGCTCGACCCAAAAATGGTTACTCATCAGGTGTTCTCTGCGCTGGTTGGATGTGATCGGGCTCAGGGGCACCCATGGTCGCAATTCCACTGATCGTCCATGGGATTTGAGGTTTTGCATTATGAGCAGATTTTCCCTGTCAATCTGATAGATGGTGACGACACAGTTGTGGCATTGACAGTTTCAATGAGGAAATGGTCCTGCACAGCTTGGTTGTCAGCTGTTAATCCATCTCAGTTTGTCATTGATCGGGGCGTTTGTTGTTTCTGTCGAAAATCTGATCTGCACCACATTCTTGGCGTAGATCATATCCCGATTGGCAAGGGCCTGTGGGGGAAAAATTGCATGGGGGTAGATATACCCATTCTTTTCAATAAATTTTCTCTGGGATCGCACATGCGCTTCTGTATGAAGTGGGCTTTCATCTGGCCCATGGCATCAAGAGCCAGCGGGTCCCCTTCTGTCCTCTTTCCAGCTGCTGCCAGGGCCTTCATGAGAACCTGCTTTTCTCTGGACATCGGCTGTTCTTTGCCATGCGCCGTATTTTCAGGGGCATCTAGTTTTCGGTGTCCCTGCTGTTCTGTTTGGAGGCCCTGCTGTACGAGGCACTCACCCCTGTCCTGCTTTGGCATGGTTGAACCAATCACCAATTTGGTCGCCCATGCCCCTGCAGGTGGTCGGACACTGGGGGTGCTATTATGGGGCATAGGTTGGTGTGACTGTTCTTCTTGTGCGGTCAGGGTCCCGGCCCGTGGGGACGACTCGTCAGCCCTCCGTTTGTCATTGTTTGATGGGAGGGTGGTCTGTTGACCACACTCTTCCTTTCTTCCATCAGTCATTACTTTGTTATGTAAGTCGTCATGGCGAAGGTGCGGGAGTGTGAACACACGTGTTTTTTTTTTTTTTTTTTTTTTTTTTTTTTTTTTTTTTTTTTTTTTTTTTTTTTTTTTTTTTTTTTTTTTTTTATTAACAAATAGAATGCTTTATTATATATGGAGCAAAAGGAGGCCGGGAATCCCTCCACATCTCAACTCGGAAGACTGGGGCCATTACCCAGATTTGGCTCTTACTGGAACCCGGGTCCAATGTCCCTTTCTCCTATGAAGGTCGTTGCTATTCTTGAACAAAGGCACAACTGGATTAACCAAAGACTAAATGGCAATAACCAAAAGAACCTACCATCTATCTCTCCCCTATCATCATCTTAAGCCCTAAAACCTAGCGCTGTTGCTCGTCTCTCCCCTTACCTCCGATACCTCATCCTCTCTGACAGCTCTTCTTAAACCCTAAACCCTATTGTCCCCAGTGATGTGGAGACCACTTCCCTATTTACGTGAGACCCTAGTCCTCTCAGTCCACTACGCTAAGTTTGTGTCTACTAAACTGTTTTGTGATTGTGCCATTTCCAACGAGGCAAGGTCTCTGGTTCTGTCTCTCCCCTGCTGTTCCTCCCTCCTCTTCTATATCAGACACGAAGGATCACCTTGTACCGTTCCTAGTTTGCCCATTCCGAGCCTGTCCTTGATAAATTTGTCTATGATTATTTGCTTTTTTGTGGGGTCATCCTTGATATTCTTGTTTGCTTGGCACCAATGGGCCTGATATTCCGTGTGTAGAAGTTGTAGAACGTTCTTCCAGGCCTCCTGGGTAGATGTATTTTGGCAAGCTATCGTTTGTTTGCATCGAGTCTTCCTTATGATCCACAGCGTAAAAGGGCGAATTCTTCGGAAGAGGGTTGAATGCCAGACTTCTCTGAAACTTGGTTGTGCCAAACCCGTCAGGAGTGTCGGTAGGTTGTCCGGTAGCGTTGTGCCGACTAGCACTGACCAGTACGCCCGCATTTTGTTCCAAATCCTTTATGCGTTAGGACAGTTTATTAGACAATGTGACACGTCCTCTAGGGATCCATCATCGCAGACTGCGCAGCTGTTGTCAAACTCTCTTCTAGTTGTTTCTTACCTTCCCCTGTTGAGCCATGTGTTGACCGGCAAGGCCTGATAGTATGTAAGCCATCGCATGCTTCTTACGTGAGTGTTTTTGATGGCGAGGGAGACTTGCCAGTCAAGCTTCTCTGTGTAGCCTTGGCAACCCGGAATATATTTCTCCCATCGCTGGGACAAGATGAGCTCTATGTTCACCAGATTACGTCTGAGTTTATAGCCAAAGCTGGTCGAGTAGTCTAGGATGTTGGTACATTTCTCTGGCCCCGTTGGTAGTGATCTTGTTTTCCATGCCCACTCAACCAGGTCAAACTCCAAATACTGCAAGGCTGTTCCCGGCTGATAAGTTTTGTAGTCTGTCTTCCACCACTTTGATTTTCCCGAGGAGGGACGGTTTGGTTGTGACTCGGGCACATACTGTTTTAGAGACCTTGTTGATGTTGTTTCCTGGTTGTTCAATGTCCTGGTTTTTCAATGTCGTGGATGGTCCATAGACCCCAATCCCCTGTCGGGCCTATTGACTTCACGTACGACAATACCTCTGTGGGGGTGTTTTCTGACTGCCACGTAACCCACTCCCCCGGTGTCCAGGCGGGGGGACCTTGTAAGAGTGCCTGATAGTAAATAAAGCATTGCATGCTTCTTACGCGAGTGTTTTTGATGGCGAGGGGGACCTGCCAGTCAAGCTTCTCTCTGTTGCCGAGGCACCCCAGAATATATTTCTCCCATCGCTGGGACAAGATGAGCTCTGTGTTCACCGGATTACGTTTGAGTTAATAGCCGAAGCTGGTCGAGTAGTCTAGGATGTTGGTACGTTTTTGTGCCCCCATTGGTAGTGATCTTGTTTTCCATGCCCACTCAGCCGGGTCAAACTCCAAATCCTGCAAGGCTGTTCCCGACTGGTAAGTTCTGTAGTCTTAGTCTTCCACCAGTCTGATTTTCCTGCAGAGGGACGGTTTGGCTGTGAGTCGGGCACATATTGTTTTAGAGACCCTGCTGATGTTGTTTCCTGGTTGTTCAATGTTGTGGATGGTCCATAGACCCCAGTCCCCTGTCGGGCCTATTGACTTCACGTACGACAATACCTCTATGGGGGTGTTTTTTGATTGCCACGTAGCCCACTCCCCGGTGTCCAGGCGGTGGGAGCTTGTAAGAGTGCCACCCATTCCCATGGTATGGATTGTAACATCGCCTGTCGGTTGTCCTCCAAATTGTGGCATCTTTTAAGAGTTGTTTTGAGCTCCACCGTTGTCTTCCAGCGATTGCAGTGATGGTTCCAGATGTGTTGAATTTGCCAGACGCCCCTTTCTAGTCAAGTAATCCAGCGGGTATCCTGTGCCATTAGAGTTCATGGTTTATCGGGGGGGTCTTTCAGCCATTGGTTGCAGAAGAGAGGCTGGCTGCGACTTCCTCTCTGCTTGTTGGACTTCGCACTTTGGCCGGGAAGATCTCTCGCCAGGTCCTGATGAGATACATCCAGTACTCCAAGCGGGTCGGCAACACCTGTTGTTGCTGGTCCATCCGGTGAATATTGCTGCGAGTCGCCCAGGACTTCGACATTACCCAGAAGAGCCCTTGCATGTTGGACGGGGTGGTGGCTTTAGGCAACTGTTTGATCTTGTACAAGGCCAGCGTAGTCCAGAGGAGTCGTCGTTGTATTAGCAACTTGACAATCCACTTAGTTTGAAGGGCCTTGGTCTAAGTAGCCGGTTCGAGGACTGCCAAACCCCCTTTTCCCTTTGGTTGGATGATGTGCGACCAAGCCACCTTTGGTATGAATCGTTGTGTCGCAGGTTTCTTGGTCCATAAGTAAGCACTTGCTCGCTGTTTGAGGGTTGTGACCATGGTACCTTCTGATGTCCAGATGGTGGCTGCGTACCACAACATAGACAAAATGGACGCATTAAGTACCAGCGCCCTTCCGAAGACTGGCGTGTAGATGCTGGACCAAGTGTCCATTTTGCGTAACATCTTCTTCGGTATCTTTGGTGCCATGGCATGGTCTGGTCTAGAGTCTGCAAGCTTGATTCCCAGGAAACGCAGGGGCATTCTCGAGTTTTGCCACTCAAACCCCATTGGGGAAGCTTCTTGTAGAGGTTGCGGGCAGTCTGCCAGCCACCAGCCCATAGTCTTGTGCCAGTTGACTTTCATTTCCGAGGCCAACTGGAATGCTTGCATGGCTCTGATAAGTCCCTGAAAGGATGCCTTGGAGGCCTTGATGATGGTTGTGAGGTCGTCCGCAAAGAGTAGTGTAGTTGGAAGGGTCACCGTATGTGTGTGGAGCGTCGGTTCTGCTACCAATCTGTCGATGGACGGGTCCTTTCGCAGAAAGGAGGCTATCGCTTCCATCG